AGCTTTTTTCCTGAATTGGCATGAATTTGAAATAATTTGATGAAAAATTTTCACTTGAGCTCCTAAAAACACTTGATGTATGCCTAACTTATATTTTCGCACCACCCATATTAATATTAGAATAAGAGTTTCAAGATTATGCACACTTTATATATATCCTCCGTGTACCTGTAACTCTACTATCTTTCAGGAGCTTACCCACCACCCCGCCATGCCGGTTTTCTTGTTATAAATTATGTTTAATACCTAATTGAACTAATAAAGTAAAAATGATGGACGTGCTTTAATGTATACCAGAATAATAACTGGATAAATAAAAATGCTTGTTGATAATGCAAATAAATACTTACTTGTGATTACCGATGAGTTTATTGACTGATTATGCCATCGAAACTGATGCATGTAGCAGCTTTAATCATTCTTTGTTTTAGTCTACTTTAAATGCATCAATATTATTCAATACTGTATGGAAGTATTATTTTGATCAAATAATTTGTTTCGTCTTTCTTAATAAACTGGAAGTGTAACAGTTGCTTTCAATGGCATCAGTTATGTTGTAAAATGATCATACATAGTTATCGAAACTGACCTTTATTTTTTTATGGATCAGTTTATACACCTGGTTAGTACCCATCTTTCTATATTAATAATCTAGTACTTTATTAGTATATTTACATAATACTCATGAATTGAGTGTAATGTTGATTCTTTCTTCAATTGCACATATTATAATACTTGTAAAATCTTACCTTTGGACCTATTCTAAAAATCCACATGTCCTTGCTCTCTAAGGAATTACACCTTGATAGATTCTTCCTATCAAATAATGTTTCTGACCTTTTTTTGTTTGCATAGACAGCACAAGGAGTAATTTTTACCATATAGGTAGAATAAATGTTTACTACATAATCCCTTCATAATTTTAATAGTTGTTTTAAGATTCCTAGTCAAGCCTTATTAAATTATCAAATATAAATTTAAGATAAGTTAATTTGAATAGAAATGGTTAATGTACTCTCTAGCAGTAACAGTGAATCGCTACTATTGTCACAAGGTAATCAAAAAATTGTACAACTTGCTGACTTACACTTTCACGTATATCTATGGTTAATAATACTAGAGCCCACCATGCTTATAATCTATTACTTTGTTTTGAAAATTAGTAATGTGGATGGCGTCTTCAAAGATGGTAATAATTACACAATAATATCTAATCCTTTTTCAAATGTATACACACTTGAACTTTTTAATCAAGATGAATTCCATCTAAATGGAGGTATATTTGCTATGAGATAATTCGATTCTCAAATTCTTTAAGCTTTGTTATTTGTAGCCATAGTGGTGATGAGCATTGATGAAATGTTAGGTTGAGTCAAGTTGACAATTTCACAAATTAGAAAAGTTATCTTCCTTCAAATATTAATCAATAGAAATATTAAATTACTATGAATCTTGAATACTTGATATAACATGAACAAAATGTAAAATTTTTAATGCTCAAGTAAAACCTAACTATGCTTTGTTCACATTAACATAAAATAATAATATTATGTCATTTTGCCAAAAGCATTCTCTAAAAATTTATTAAGAAGCTGAAGAAACTTCCAAATGAATTATTGAATCATCTCTAATTCATGTCTTAATAGATACTTGTTAATAATTATTATTTTGGACAATAGATAAATTAGTAAAAGGCTTTAGGTGAAAGAATTAAATGCTAAATTACCCCTTATAATTAATTTACTTAGAGTTTGATTTCATGCAGGTACTGATAGAAATAATTGTGATTAATGCATTCCTGAATCCTTTTACATAACTCTAGCTCGAGCATCTCCTGAAATTGCTTAATACCAACCATATAAGCTTACTCCTTCCAAATATTTATACGTAATGTTGATAGTTTGCGAAGCTTCTCTTTGGAGCCTGCAGATTAAATAATGCGTAAGAAAACATGAACTTTTTACCAAACCATCAGGTCTGTAGCTTTGATACTAGAGAAGAAATATCATATTCTCATATAACCTTACTTCAAAATATTTAGGCTTATGCCAATATTCCCTGCGCAATTATACTATGATACATATTTCTGCATCACTTTAATTAGTGTTTTTGTATTCCTATTGCTATCTATTAGCATCAGTACCTCGAGAAATGGTCTTTTATTTTTATTTTCTCTTCTTGATGTCAAACCAGTGTGATAAGAGTTTTATATATCTCTGATAAAACATTTGCCTTAATCTGTTCAATTATTGATATTGTTTTATTGTTATTTTTAGATGATCTGTGTTTCATAAATTATAACTCCATTTTGGTTTGGGGTTTGGGTTTGGGTAAAAAATGGGGTTGGGTTTGGGTTTGGGTTTGGGGTGTGAAAGG